ATAACTGAGCATTTCATTTATCGCAATCAGGGCTGAAATAAACTTACTAGTCACAGTGGATGAGTTTCGCACGGTAAAAGTTAACTATGTAGTCAGGTAGAAGATACCGATGATTATCCAGTGAAATCGCCAAAAAATTCCTTGAGCAAACGAGTACGCTGTTGGAAGCGGGGACAATTCAACTACCGAAAAATGCTTGATTAATATAAATTCATATAGCGATAGCCTGCAGTCTATCAAGTTACGTAAAACACGAACTCCTTTTGAACACTTCTTCATAGCTACTACGGAAGGAATACGACAAATAAAAAATTTCACTCGTAATTTTAATGATTAAGCTTACTTGATACTTGAACTTGAATGGCCCGTCCTCACTGGTTGTGCGGGCCCCAGTACCATCTCCATTTTTCGGAGATTTGCTAGTTAAAAATATTGGTTCCCTGGAGACTTGGGGTCAGCCTGGTATAAAGATGACAACTGATTAAAGTGCCTAGGAAGGTAATAAGGTCCGTACCTCAACCTTCACCTAAATGACAAGAACTTCACCAATGAAGTAACTCAGAATTGATTTCAAAAGATATAACAACATTTATAGAAACCATCTAACTTTACAAATGAATTGAAATAATATTTCATCGTCTACTTTAAACGGGGAAAAAACAAAACTTTACTATTCCGTCCAAGTACAAGCACTGCACAGATGAAAACCGAGAAAGATCTCTTTTCTACCCTATGTGATTGGCATACTGAACTGACAATTTCAACCCTATTTGAAGATTCAGGAAACAATTAATCAATGGGTCAATAAATTGAGAACTAGTGTAAGGGAAAAGTCACCACTTGGAAACTGATCTAAGAAAATGTTATAAAGTACGATTTGTCTATAATATAACAGCATAAGAGATTTTCGATCAAAAAACTTTAGAAATATAAAAAAATGAATTTGGATAGCCACAGCCTTGTCCGGTAACAGACATTATTTGCTTAAGGGGAAATCAATGCAATATTTCCATTTTTACTTTCAGTTTTATGTCTATCAAATTCCAATGTATAACTTGAAAGCCATGTTAATTGACTACATGAGCACAAGCATAACACTTAACAGTTCAGTTAACAGTTCAAACCATGACTACTACTATTTCATAACGTCATTGCAAAAGAAGCGGATCTAATGCTACATACCTCCACACTACAAACAACATGTTAGAGGACCAATCCCAACCAAAAGTCTCTCAATACTGACGGATCGTCCAATCCAGCGTCCACACAGGGGAGAAAATCCATGTGCAGCTGTCTGAGTCGCTTCGCTCGCTTGTCACCTGACAGCATTATTGCTCCGAGAACAATATGCCACGTTTCATCCCGGCTTCATCACCAACGGAAACATTTGGGGGATGTGGTTTCAGTCTCAGTAAAGGCTCGCTTCTTGGGTTTTCAAAGCCAAAAAGCGTCAGAAGTGTCTGTCAGAAAAAATTAAACTTTCACAATCATCGTCAAGCAAGAGCCTTTTTCTTAGCGAGCGCAATAACGACGACTAGTAAACTAACGACATCCTGGAAGTATATTTCACATTAGTTAGTGCTTGTCTTTTTATCTACAACAACTCTGCAGTACGCGCGCACGCCGATGTTGGAGAAATAAAAGCCATAGTGCTTCCACAATTTGCGTCCAGCCACGCTATGCTGTTCCTCAGAGTGGAAATTCGTCATCGTTAACAAAGAGGCGCGAACTCTGATCTCCGCCAGAATTTAGATTCACGTATTCGGCGATGAAGTACAACAATCAGAGAAGTTACATTTGATAGTTCAGCAAGTCGCATTCTGTTTCCGCGCTGTACCCGCTGTAGATCTTACGATTTAAACGTTTATTTAACTTATTTTTGGTTACTACCTCTACAAGCCTGCACTTATCTACACATCTAGAAAGTTTACAGAATAACGCATGTAAATGTAGCGCGCATAAGAATAACTTAAAACGGAGAGAGGAATCTTCCAACCTATTTTTACAATTTCTAGTTAACCTAATACAAAACACCTTTGCTACAAGGAACGAATAACAATGTAATAAACAAGGATTAAAGAGTCCAATTACTTCCACATTGTTCTTGAAGACGAAGTCCTTGAACTTAACAAAGAAGTTTCAAATCAGTGAAGAGAACTATGTAAATGCAGATGATATTCTATGGTTTAAATACGAAGACCCCGAAAAGCTTATACTTCCACCTATTGAGAACCTCGACAGCTACTCTCTCCTCTCTATTCCAAGGTTCGTGCGAGTAGCTCAAGCTATCTGAACGACCAAGAGTATTAGATTGTTCGAGAATTAATGCTCCATTTGCAATTTTATTTATCTTGCATGTTTCATGAATAATTTGTCTTTAAACGCAGCACTATTATACATCAATACAAAGCTTCCTTCATGTACGTCCACTCTTTACATATATACATACATATATAAATATATATATATATTTGCATATATATGCACATATATATGTACATGTACACATATATATATATATATATATATATATACATGTGTCTGTATATACTTATGCATTGTGTTTTTGACAAGATTTAAAGGTCAAAATTTAAGATGTAAAAGGAGCAAAATTGAAAAAAACTACTTCCAGGAACACTAGACTCGGATAAAGTTCAGCGAAAGTGTCCAGAAACATTAACGAAGCGGCTTAGGTCCAAGGAAGTGTTAACGAATGTGCCATCTTTCCACGCAGTAGCGATGAAGCAGAGACGATGCGTAAGGAGAGCAACGGAGCGGAAAAATGGAATTGCAAATAAATCAGAAACAAACCTAGTTGATGCTAAACAAATTATGATGCTAAGGAAGAAAATCGAAGTGATCACTAAGATCACATTCGCGCACTAACGGCGTTCGTCAATCAATAACAAATAAACGACTAAGAAATTGTGAAGTAGGGAAAACAATATAGGCATCATTCAGACTTCAAAGAGTACCGAAGAAGCTAAAGCTCTTTACTCATCAATTCAGATGGGCGGTCTTCCCAACACTGAGAACTTCAATAATGCTGAGATATTTGTAGAACCCCGGACCGCAGGCGTATGCGGTGGGGAACGAACGCGCTATTACTCTTTCCGAGGAGTGACGCGTTCACCACCACACCATCACCATGCGGGTCCTTCGTTTCGCCTGTCTCTCAGCTAGTTCTATCGATCTTTGCAACGAACCCAGTTAAGTTGAGACCGCAGTTACAATCACAATTTTAACTTATTACTGCGGTCCGGAATTTTGCAAATATCTCAGCATCATTGAAGTTATATTTCGCAATATACTCTGCCATAAAAAAGTAGGCAGAAAATAATAAGTTAAAACTGGTAACTTCTACTATTTTGAGCAATAAACTCCTTCTGAAATGCACTCGGTAAAGACAATATCAAGCTGCACCGAAACTAGAATGGATTACTAATTTCGGAGACTATGCAATACGGTGAGTACGACAAACAATCGAACACGCTTTTCATCACCTTAATGTGCACCAGCGGTACCCATCAAAAAATTTTCCATTGCCTCAAAAACTCTAAATGAGAGCCAGAAATTTAAAAAACAGAGAAAACATCTAATATGGTGGAAAGCGGCTCATCAATAACTGAACCGAACAATCCTTTAAAATCCTCGTGCCACGCCCTGCAAAAAAAAGTGCAGGGAAACATTCAAAGTATAAGCATTCACAAAAAGGTGGTTAATTTTTAGTTCCATAAAAGCTCGCATCCAAGTTCAAACCCATTTCTTACTTCGTTTCGTCGCTTTATCGCTAACAATAGAAAGTTATTACCACTTAGTCCAATGCGTATATCCTTTCGGCCACCGCATTTCCCATTGTCCTATGCTTTCGGTATATTCTGAACTCTTGCACGAGATGAAAAAACTTGTCGACCATCCCATCACGGTGTCAGTTCTTGGCAGTCATTTCACATATTTGCACCATGTGCCGATATTTTTACACCAGCACTACCGATACTTCAATTATCATCCATAACTGTAACACGAGATGAAACAACAACAAGATTCAAAATTCTGAATATAAAATTGATCTACATGTCCCAAATACATTACGATAGATAGTGGGTTGTCAAGCAGTTTTGGTGATGTCCAGTAAATGGTTATGGTACAGTTAAACCCACACAGCTCTTCTAAATGATACAACAAACTTATTAGAGCGAAATATTCCCAACTGTCAAAATTCGGCGTTAGAGTGGAAGAGAAACAACTGTCTAACTTCCTCAACGGAAACGGGCGATGATCAGCAATCTCGTCACAATCAGCGGTCTCTCACAAACCAAGAGAACTAGTCCAAAGGTCATTTTTTGCAAACTATTAAGTAAAGAGATCAATTTGCAAGCATCCTGCCCATAACAATGGTCTGCGGTGGGTAACCTATCGATTGAATACGAAAAGTGCAGCTATAAACATTTGTACAGCAAACTAAACGGCCGCAAAAAGATGTGTTCATCTCAAGTCACGCTACCATCCTACACATGGATAGAGAAATCCATTGACATCAGACTCTTAATGTTTAAATCAGTTTCGTTACCATCAAACGGAATCTTCAAAAAAAAAAAGAAAAGAAAACAGTGAGCAGCTACCTTAGTTACTCACTAACAATGCATATTCGCCGATTCGCCGACGGCGGTGGACGAAAGATTGGAGACGAGCCAAAAGCTGTTGCTAGTTATGCTTGAACTTAGACATTGATGATCACCAGAGAATGGTCCTACGATTTAGCAGTCTCCTACTAATTTGTGGCCCTTGGTATGTCTCTATACACATCAATGCGTACATGAATTGGTGTCATCTGTTGCCCCCTTGATCGTGGTACGAATCAAGCGGATGCCAGCAAATCTTTCACTTCTCCTGTCGCATGCTAGAGTATCCCAACGGGTTCTGTTTGTTCTACGGACTCGTTAAGCACCATGCCTTTCTTCTAGGATCTTCGTTAAGAACTCTAACCATCGGATCAAAGATCAGTCAGTTTTTTCAGACACGTAACGTGTGAAGAGACAACCCAACGTGTTTACGAAGAACGGCGGAAGGTTCTTCAGATGCTCAGATCTTACCTTATCCGGACCTGTTGCTCTTCGATTTTTCACCGACGAAATAGCATCTCGAATTTCGGAAGGAACCCGTAGTACGAATATCCATCCTCCTTTATTTCTCATGAGGCAAGAAAGACGAAGCCACCGAAGAGATGCGAGCAGTAATCGTGAGTAATTTTCTCTATTGCATTTTTAGAAGCTCTGGCTATTCCGTTCGTTCATCGTCTACCTGCATTGTTTTGCAAGTTCGGACGTGAACCGGCGGCTGCCTTTCGCTCGTGAAATTCAACGCTGACGTATCAGTTTGAGTGTTTCTGGTGATAGATGTCTCTTGGTGACTTTCGAAGACTCAGCTTTCATGGCCCTATCGGCGAAGATGTTGAATGAGCCGATGGTATTACGTCAATGTTATCGAAAACGGCATCTTTCCAACAGCCCACTAATGAGCTAAATAAATCGCAGTTTATGGTGAATTTGGAACTTCGTTTTCTGAATTTAGCGGTTTTTTCTGCGTTCCGCGAGAATATTGCATAAAGGAGGCGATGGTATGATCCCGTGTGGAATTTTGGGATTACGATGACATCGGTTAGGCAAAACCTTCCATTTACTACGATGTGGTCTTTTCGTTACGGTACTTTCTAATGCGTATTTCCTTGATTGGAAGTTTACGAATGACAGATGTGGATCAACACCATAACCAAGATGAAAGAGCAACTAGTGTTATTGAATGTGCAGTCGAAAGGACGATGCTACGAGTATCAAACTGTCGAGCCGATGGTCGAGTTCTTCACGAAAACTCAAGGGCGATATGATACTCAGCAAGTCTATGGGGCGAACAGAATCCACTGGGTTACTCTTTCATGCAACAGGTAGAAATAGTACGCTTACTTGTGCCCACTCAAACTACCCAACTTTCATTGGGACAAGAAGACATTTATATGTATATATATTATTTACAATTATACATATATGTACACAATGTACGTGTATATATGCAGAAACAGAAGTAAGATAAATAAGTTCAGAAACAGTTGGGACGGAAAAGAATACAACCACGTTGAAACGGAAACGAGTAGAAAGCAAAGCAAGCGAAACTGGATGTTTGGATATCTTCAAATATCATTTTCTGGAATCAAAAATTGAAGACAAATTACGAGAAGATGCCATTAACAAATCTACTGTCAGAGAAGTGTATGGAAGCCTGTATGCAAGATTTCTCTGTTCCTGTTTAAATGTCACACCTCTTTCCCTGTGAGAAACTGGTTTTCACGACTACCCACTCGATTGTGGTTGTTATGTGAATTGGGGAACAGAACTGCGCTACAAGTACCGAATAAGACTAAAAGAACATTTATCCCCTCTAGTAAACGAGGTTGACAACGACCATGTCAGGCAATGTAATGGAGTTATAAACATCACAGTTTTGAAAACGAATGATTTAACTGGTCAGATTTACCTGAAGTATTCCTTCAGTTTTCTCGCCTATTAGACAATGAAATTAGCTTGGAAGCGTTCAACATAGAAAAAAAATCAAGAACCTAATCAACGCTAATTATAAAACGACAATTACCCTAAAGTACAATCGTTCTTGAAATACACTCCTAGTAAGCCTTCTCAGCGACATTTTACAAACAACGTTGGACTACACCTTCGAAACAAGCTCTAAAAATGCGATAACAAATGAATAATAGTTATGTAACATCTAGATAGCGGGAGTCCTATATTGCTCGACTGCTATTCATAACCAAAAGACATCGCATGGCTGCTACACAGCCGTATTTTCACAGTGAATATATAGATAGCACATTAAAAGTAACCACATCGAAAAAGGAAACATACATCTATACACCATTTCATACTAGAAATTTGATGTAAGTGCCACGTTGGGCTAACGACAAATGCCAAAAATCTTTCGATAAATATAAAGTAGAAAGCTTTAGGATCTGGATCTTGACCAATAAATCTGTGGAATAGGTTCCAGCGTTTCACTCTAAGGTAGGGCATTATTTTGTTTCCAAAACTCCACGTTTCATTTAAAATTGCTTAAAATTATAATATTCGAACAATTTGGAAAATGCAGATTCTTAAAACATTCAAGCTGGAGGGGCGGCCGCAAATAACAACAACAAATTCGAAGACGCCACCATGTACTCCTGAACTAAAATACCGCCCGTTCAATCCACTCGCTAATTGTAACGCAATCCTCGAAGAAAACGTGAGAAAGGAAGTAAACCTGCGCATTCCACAAAATACCAGTTTTATCCTGGCAAAATAAGAAAACATTTGTCCTAATAACTCCAAGGATTTGTCCCGCTCACCCTTTATCCAATTGCTCAACGTTCGTATCTAGAACACGAAAACAGTTGAACAAATAGTATTTTGATAAGCAAGACTCTACAAGTCGCTCTACGGGGCATATATGCGTTCAACCACTTCAATGCAGGATGCTTGATGAAGTCGAATGCATGCCACAGAGAATGATCAACGACGAATACGTCATCCTTTATTTTCTAATAAGCGATAAACCCTTACAATTAAAAAAAAAACTATACATTAGCGATTAAGAGGAGCTATCCAGAATTTGGTGCCAGGACTTAATCCACCTGTCGATGGCGATTAGTGATCGATCAATCACACTGGTTACTTAAAAAGCGGAACTATTCAGATTTTTTGGAAGTGACAAAAAATCTTTCCTTAGATACATTTCATTTATGCTGATCCATATCAAAGATTTTCAAAGCCATGAGTCCTCTGTTAAAACGTGGTTTAAAAAAAAACTTCCTCTAGAGTGAAAACACGCCGGAATAAACACGCCTCATGCTAGGCTCGATGATGATTCAAAAATTTCCCAGCTCATTTCTGGTTATTCGGTCCAAAACTATAAAACAACAAAGGAACTGCACAGAGACCATTCTTTACGTTAGTACACTCTTCAGATAACCAAAATACCAAGCTTAATAAGCACCTCAATTGACTTTAATATGCGGGTGCGGACTGTTTTGTTTCATTACAGTTTTCTTCCAGTATTCTCTAATATCTTACTGTAGTTTATGCCCACTTATGCACCACCTACAAAAGTGACTATATTCTCAACTTAGGAGACATATTTAAGCAGTGGGGAAGAGGAGCGTATAAAGAATATTCTCTTTCACACTTTCACACTACTATATGCTTCTTATGTTGAAAATGTATTGTTCATAATGACACTTACTCCTATCTCCTCTTGTACTACAGAAGAATTTCTCTTGTACCTTGTGGACTATACAAGACCATGGCTGACAAGGTTTTTGACGTCATTCGTAGCATTATTTCTTTCAGAATAATACTTTTGGAATCGCTAAACACTACAAACTGTCGTTTTCCTTAAGTCGTACCGCACCGTTGTATTCTTCAATACATTTTTAAATGCATGCTGAACAACGTTAGATTCTCTGTAAAAAGCCTGTCCAGCCTAGAACTTTTTTGCAAGCGTTAAAAACGTCTTCTCCAGCAGTAACTCACCCATTTCAAAGGATATGTAAAGCTCGCTATTGATATGACAACCTATTTCTTTTGGCACACCATTTACAGAAAACGTTCTCTATAAATATAAAACATTTTCTATCTCTATATTGTTCCCCTATCGAATATTCTTCATGGAACATGCATTTTTCTCGCATTGCTTAGTCATCTTCACACCCCCATCATAGTCTGAATACAAGTAGCGTCGTCATCTAACTTAGTTCTCCTTACCAAGGCTCTTACATTCTCTTTTTGGCACTGGCTCTTCTATCCTTCACTCTTCTGTATATCGCCAAAGGTTCAGATTATGCTCTGTGGCAACATAAGTAAAGCCCTCGTGGCATATTCATACAAACGCGAGGAGTCAATTTGAGCTAGGAACTCTGAAAACTAACAATTCAAACTGTACTTCTAGCACTGTAAACGCAATCATATGCTTACGATTTTACACAATGGTTCATCCTAGCTAACGATCTATGACATCTCTCTTTTTCTCGTACCACTAAACACTCCATTACAGGAGACGCTTCGCTATCGTTAATGTTCCTCATGCAGTACCAATTTAGCCAGTTGATCACGTCAACATTTACATTGTTTATACACACATTTGTTAACCTGGCAGGTTTTGTACTACTTTGTTGACATTCTTAACCTTTTTTCATTTACTGCCTATTCTTTCTAACGGTAGGGTATTTTGCGAAATATAACTGATATAATGCTGAGATATTTGCAAAACTCCGGACAGCAGATGTCTGCAAATATCTCAGCATTATAGTAGTTATATTTGTTGACATTTTCTATATAACGGTTAATTAATCTAGCTTGAGTCTTTCGCAAGGCAGGGCACAACAAGAAAAATTTCAACGGACGAACTCTCCAATACATACTATTCCACACGATGAGACCTCTCTCTAGCACACTTTTACATCCATGCTATACCTGGGAATGCACGACTGAAATACCTGACGAAAAAGTTTTTTTCGAGTTACAAAGACGGACTAGATATTTGGTGAAAATCTCACCAAAATGCTAAATGTGCGGGCAAATAAACTAGGACAGTATTCTTGAAGGAAAAAATCGGCACTGGAAGGACAACCGTTACACTCGAGTAGAAAAATAACAGACACATAATGAGGGAAAAAATAGTAAAACAGAAACGTTAAATCTGCTTTCACAAAAACGAAATCCGGATGAGCGCAGATTTCCACACATCATGGTGGCCAAGGAAATGAATTCTTCAAACTTCTAAGAATGCGCAGACTACGTATATATTCGCAAAAGAACATGGGCAGGATCAAGAGCTTTTGGCTATGTTCAATTATACGCTGAGATGAAACAGTGTAAGATGTCGTTCCGAAAAGAGTATACATGAGTGTAATCACTCAATACATGAGCACTAGTGAAACTATGGAAAAATATGGGTAAAGGAATATGGAAAACAGAGATCAACAGTCTAGAGGTATGCCTATTCATTGAGTTTTGGAGTTTCGGATGCACCAAATCAGTGTCTTCGTCCCTTCAGACAAGCCTGGTGTATATTTCCCGATCCCTTAAGGACAAAAGTTTGGTGAACTTGGGAAGCATGATCGAACCAACGACCAAGTGTATACTACAGGGTACCTTTAACCACTGTGCTACAGTGCTACACTTGCCCCTATATTTAGTTCAAGGGACGAAAAACATAAAACAGCACGATACCTGTGCCGGGCGGATACGGTACACGTTGAATCATCACACGCTGAACAGGCGCTCCATTCATCATCTGCGGTTGACGCACAAAATGTGCTGGTTGCATCTACAAGTAACCAACCGAAAGTAAAAACGGAATAAAAGAGTGAAGTGTTTTGAATTAATTAATATCGTCACCTACTATACTCAGCACTTCAAACATGCTTTGCTTGAATGCTATTCTTTGAATACCACTTCAAAAAAGGAACAAAGGTTAGTTCAAAAAAAGAAAGAAGTAATTTTGAAAAACCACACTCGAGCAGAGGAAATTCCGTTCAAAAAATTCTAATTTAATAATGTCAAGCTCCCTGAATTGTCTCATCATGGTCGGGAGTTTCTCCTGCGCACTGAACTGCGATGTACCGCAGAAGTTCATTCCCTACCTGAACAACCCAAGCCATAAAATAGTTCGATATTTTTATACGGAGGTTTAGGTAAGACTAAATAAATAGGGGAGTCATTGTCGACCTAGTATCAACATAGTTACAAGCCGGCAAACCTCTCTAAAGTGGCCGGCCGCTGTCTGTAGTTTGAGCTGAGAAAGTTTTTGCATGACCATCTTGATACTCCAGGAAAAGAAAAGTTTGCCGAACCAACACATTAGCTATGAGGTCGAAATCTTGATGAGATTCGCAAAATTCTCTACGGAAACGAAAAATCAAGTAATGTTTAAGCCAATACTGTCGCGCTGAACTGGGTTCCAGCTCTTTGATGAACACGTATGATATAAAAGATAAAGACAAAGTCTTCACAACGAGAAGTCCAGAAAAGCGGTAAATAAAAAACAACTCTTACTTGCTGCTGCTGGGATGTCCACTGTGACTGCGAAGCCTGCTGAGTGTAGTACTGCTGGTTTCCACCCATCATACCCATTTGTTGGGGAACAACCATCTACAATAAATGTCTCGCAATGTCCATAAAATATTCCATACAATTTCACTCTCCCGTAGAAATTTCGTCGAAAAATTTACGTCAATGCTACAGGTTACAGAATTAGATATATTACTATGTATTTTAGAATACGGGAACTAGAAGCAACTAAAAAAGACGTTTAAAAAGCTTTGGAAGTACTGCAAATATATATACGTCTCTTTTTTTAAGAGAATTCGAGTCCTTTTCAATAACTAATTCGTAATGATTTAATTCCATTTTCCCTAATTACTCCACATATGAACAGTAGAAAGGTGTCACACGTGTACTACAACACTTTTAAAACAAATAGAAAGGATCTCTTAAATCTCACCTGCTGGCTTATCAAAGGCTGCTGTTGACCCATTAGCTGTTGTTGTTGTTGTTGTTGTTGTTGTTGCTGCTGCTGCTGTCTCACATACATTCCAGGAGAGACATCACCTTGCACCCCAGCACCACTCATTATCTGTTGTTGCTGCATATGCATTGCTCCTACAAATGACCTATTTCGAAAAAGGACTGCAGATGTTGCTTTTCCAAGTAAAGTGCGTAAGACGCTTAAAGCAAGCACTAAAAAATGATTATGTGATCAAGTGTTATATGGACAGCTTGGTGAAATGGAAAATTATTGTACCTTCAACTCTTGACTTGATAGAGTTCTTATTTAGAAAAACTAGGTGCATAAGTGACAATGGATTAGGGTAGAATACTAATAAGTACTAGCAATAAATTGGGTAACAGCATATGTATATATATGTATGCGTATATACGTACATGCATACCATATTCAAATACGTATACATATGTAGTGAAACTTCTCAACATAGATGGATATATTTGGAGATCTAGTTAAAATATTAGATTACCTCTTTAAATACGCGATGCCTCCCAACGCTTTACCGCCTTATCGCGGCTGGGAGGTGTTCCTGGATTTGGGATTGCGATGTAGAGCGTGGGTATTTATCCCCCACTCCGACAGGATCACCCAGCCTGAGTCCTGCGTTTTTATCAGGAAACCCAACTAAGAGTAAACCAATACCAGGATTCACCGCCGTCTTGGTATCAAACTAGTCCCATGGTGGCAAATCTCCAACTGATCCAGGACAGCGACTGCCTGTAATGGTGACAACTTGGGAGAAACTTTGGCCGGGCTGACATCGGGACTCCAGGGAACCACAATAGCTAAACCAGCAAAACTCCGACAAACTAGAGATTACGCTGGGGCCCGCAAAACCAGTGAGTATGGGCCATCTGAGTATTCAAGTAATATGCGATGCAGAACAAAAAGGACTCTAAAAGTGCGGGTTACACCGTATTTGTGAAATTCGAAACGAACGATAATCTCGGAAAGAAAACGATATTTCAACGAGAATTATAAATGATCGCGCCAATCAAACTAAAATGTGACCAATAATTCGAACCTGGACTTTCAGAGATACCCTGAGTAAATCCCTGCTGTATTTGCTGTTGTGTAAATGCTCCACCGTGATCATACTGCCCTGCGGCTGTCGGCTGGCCTTGAACTATACCCTGTTGCTGTTGTTGCACCATTTGTTGTGGAGTCACTGGTCCGCCACACACAGATGGACTGCCTATGGCGCCTAAAACAATGGACATTACAACCACAGGAACTCTTTTAAAATACAGAACTAATAGAGATGTTGCTTCTTTCAATGAGAGAAAGGCGAAACGAGGGACTCCAATAGTGTTGTGGTGCACGCGTGAGTCCCCGAAAAGGATAATAGCTTATTCGGTCCCCAACGCAGACACCTGCGGTCCGGAGTTTCGAAAATATCTCAGTATCACTATGGTTATATTTCACATCACACTCTGCCATTTAAAAAAAGCAGGCGGTAAATAAAATTGACGACATTGTAATTTATACCACAGTTTCGGCTTAATTGGGTTCAATGCCGATTTGTGCTTCACAGAACAATCCCATTGACAGGTGATTGCTGATAGCTCCTATAAGTCAATGACATGGCGGAGAGGCGAAGCGAAAGGAACGCATAGTGTTGTGGTGCACGCGTGAGCAGCCGAAAAGGATAATAGCTTGTTCTGCCCCACCGAAGACACCAACGGTTCAGAGTTTTGCAAATATATCAGCATCATTACGGTTATATTTCACATAATACCCAGCTATTATAAGAAACAAAATGGTAGGCACTAAATAAAAATTGACGAAAATGTTAGCAATTCCAAAAAACTTCTTCCATCAAGGAATTGAAAAGCAATCTACCTGTTAAATTACATGAACACATAAAATACGTCTTAAATATTTGCAATCAGGCTAGGTACTCACCATGCTGCATGTGCATCGTGTTCGTCGGTGTGCCCATACGTGACTGCATTTGGCCGCAGCCGTCCATCACTAAAATATTCAAACTTTATAAAGCCTTGTTACTGAGCTTGGTGCTATTTCAAAGTTAATTCGATAATTCACAGTTCACAGTTAGAGCAACATATTTCCGAAGTACACACAATCAGCACGTAGTAAAAAGGTACGACTAGAAAAGTTATAAAACCGAATACAATCGTAGAAGAGGTGCTAAACGACGAAGTGAACGACAACGAGGTGAAAGAAATGCGCACGTGCAACTTTATGGATAAGGCAGCAGTTTAAGCGCGCCCAACAGGATGCGACGCCAAGGCAACGCTGGCGGCCAAGATACTGGCAAAATTACTCGCCCAACTTAACTCACAGCCTACGTACTACGTTATTTAAAACTAGATCTCCTAGCTAGTAATCCCCTTAAGAACACAAATATTTCAGAGTAGTAATTAAATATTAACAAACAAGGCATGGCGCTCTTGATAACTTCACATTTCGACTGGTCTCATGCCACTTTGAAACCTATTACTACACCAAACTGGAAAATTCTGTACATTAGGCTAGCACATGACTGACGGAAGTTCCGTGCTATGTAATCGTGATATAGCAAAGTCACCAGGAACAGAACAAATCACACAGTGCACAAACGTTAGCATATAATCTATGCACAACATAAGATGGTTACGTAGCTTTAATAGTTTTGTTTTGTTGCTATTGCCTCTTTCAGAGCCGTAATGAGTCGAGCCGAGTGTGCAGAGCACTCATTTCCTACCATACGTTTCTTTGATGACCTATTGAGTCAAATAGAATGAAGTGGAAAAAGTATTAACAAAGTGACCTCATCCGGCCAGTACCCTTTCATGGAGACAGTTTCTGCTTCTGTCATGAACTGGTCTTGCCTAGCAGTGCTCTGTCGCGTAGGACTGCTTTTGAATCGATCGTTCGATTCGTTCTTATGAAGACAAACCACGATACAGCAGTTGGAATTCTACTAGCTGGCAAAGAGCGAAGCAGACTTTTTGAACAGTCTACTGTGCCAGCCAACAATAGAAAATTCTTCCGATTGATCACTTTTCTCTGTAATGTACAACCTCACACTACGCTAGCAAGCAGGTAAATTACACGTGATACGCTGTGCTGGAAGGATATGTAGCACAAGAATACGTGGAATGTTCAGAAAAAAAAAAGACAACTCGAGCCAAGCTAATGAACGTGGCAGGAAATGACCATATACCTTTCTCTTATAAAACCTCTAAATAGCTACGACTAAGATGGTCCACTACGGACCACTAAGACGAGCCCGCTCACAGAAAATCGGCGGCGATTGATCGGAAGCAATCGATTCCACACCGCGAACTGCCGGAGCCGTGGCTGAGCTGCGTCCCGGTCCGGCCGGAGGAGGAAGAGACTCGTCGGCCACGCTGACCACCCGCAGGGGACGGCGCGAGGTGTCCGCGACCCGGCCCTCGTCGCCGCCGCGCACTCTGCGTCTCGCGCCGGCCGCCGCGAGCGGTGGCATCCTCGCCCATCTCTATCCACTTCGCCGACCGCCCACTGTCCGTCCTTTGTTCTCCCCCGCACCTACTTCTGTCTCTCTGGCGCTCTCACTCACTCCCAAAACGCGAACAGTACGTCCAGCCAAACATTCAACCACGAGCTTCATGCGTCACCAAAGAATGAGATCGCAAATAGTGATAGATTTCACTACTGAGGTAAGTTGGAACACAAAGGAAATTGCCTGCCTTGATTACGTGCTGCCGTATATAAACACATATATATATATATATATATATATACATACTATGTAAGACGTATAGCACAGTGGTAGTGATGCAGCCCATCATGAGCATAGTGCTGATTCGATTCTGCACTGGGCTCATCGAGCCCCGCATCGTTTCGAGATCAAGGAATTGGTAACAGACTTGTCCGTGAAAAATCACTCTCTGCAGTTCAACTGGGAACACTCCAGCCCGGCTATCTCGGAACTCCAGTGAGAATCGATTCGACCAGCATTCTACTACATTCAAAATGAAATGAAAATTCTTAAGCAGCAATCGAGGCCACGCGTAAAAATTGGAAGATCTTCGTGAATGGTGGATGCGAAGAAACGAACCGAACGTGAGAAATGCGGGGATCTACACATTAGATGACGAGTGAGGACGGATCATATAAAATAAAAACAAGAAAGATATATTATACACGTGTAAATATGCGTGTACACATATACACGTATATTTGAACACATGTATAAATAATGCATGTACGTAGATAGATATCTAGGCACGTATTTATGCACGTATACAGAGGGTGGTGGGAAAGTAAACCTCTATTTTAAAACATAATTCATTTGTACGTTGCAACATTTTGCTCAAATTTTCTTGCATACTTTTTTTCAGATCGATTACTTTCTTTGGAACTTCGAGGCCGTACAAAGATGGCTGAAACTGTACCCTGCAACAACGTGCCCAGGCAGCGTCACGTCACGAAGTTTGGAGACCCATTGCTCCAGTGCAAAGATGGTTAAACCCATTACCATTAAACGAGGAAATGCGCACGTTGATGCAAGGTGATGAAGAATTGTCAAGCAGAACGCTATTATGTGAAATGACATAGGACAGGAGTGTGGATCCCTCCAAACTTTGGCGTCACCATAAATACCAAAAGATACTTCACCATCTTGCCATGCTCTCCAGAGAAGGTTTCGTCTGTTATCAGTACTTGGGAGAATACCGAAGATTTGATTTTCATGGAATAGCGTTTCTCCAAAGTTTGCTACAATTGTTCGCAAATGTTCAAACATCCCTTTCTTTTACAAATAAATGGCTGGTCGTGGTCCGCAAGAGTGGCTAGCCAGAAGCCGTGATATAACAATCTGCGACTTTTTTCCAAAGGACTAGTAGGGAAAGTTGTGTCGTTTTCTTTCTCTGCAATCGCGAGGTTGTTGTACAGTATACGTTTACTTCGGTGTAGAAAAACACATACAATACAGCAGTGGCTCACGCTTCAGCAGTATCGCCTTCTTCAGAGTTTGGAGAAATTGTCTTCCATCCCACAAAGGTTCCTAGTGAAATCAGTTGGCACTGTTCCCCAGCGACCTGACCACGTGGTGGCGAATGCTCATGCCCATGTCCAATTTCAAAGAAAACTCTACGCTATAAGCTTCCTCCTCATACATATTCCTTGCAACAGTTATGTTTGAGATGTGAATTGTGAAGATTTTGAAATGGAAACTTGCTTATAAATCAATCTATACATGAAATATTAACATATTCGCGACGAAGTTCGTTTCTGGACAACGACCTATTATTTCCGAACAACCAGAAGACTTCACGGTCTTAGAAAGGACTTTGAACTGTTGCCCTAATGATACAAACTATATCTGGAAGGCGCAATTTTCAATTTTGAATCAATTCAAAACTCCAAGTCACGGAAAATTGAAAGTGAAGAGATTCCATATATATATATATATATATATATATATATATATATATATTGTACGTGTATATATATATATATATAGGTGCATATACATACGTATACATATACCCTCCTCACACGCATATATGTGTTTACGTATACATATATGTATATATATATACGTGCATGTACATGCATATATATGTGCATGTGTATATACATGTCTTTATATAAGGGCACGGATGGCGAAGGAGTCGGAGTAGCCCTACAGTACGCACGGGATCAATTCCCGTCATCCCGCCATCTCCGTGGCCCACTAAGTTCTCCATCCCTTCGATAGTTCGGTAGGCCACCGCGGGTTCATTCATTGTAAAGGCCAGTTATGCATTTCCTCCCAACGGTTTACCGCCTCATCGTTGCTGGGAGGTGTTTCTGGGTGTCGGACTGCGACGTACAAGGGGGGTTCGTCACCCCAGCAGGGTCTCCCAAGTTGAGAAGGAGTCGGAGTCCGGTGTTTCCATCAGGAAGCCTAGCTAAGAGTAAACCAATACCAGGATCCACCACCGCTCTGGTATTAAAGTCGCATGGTGGCAAATCATCTCCCTCTGGTCCACAAGCGCTGCGACTGCCCATGGTGGTGACGACCTGGGGTAGACTTTGGCCAGACTGTCCTCGGGATTCCATGGAACCACATTGGCTTAACCAGCAAATCTCCGAAAAGTGATCATCATGCTGGAGCCCGCACAACTAGTGAGTACGGGTCGTTCAAGTATCAAGTAAGTAAGATATGCGTTCAATCACCTCGAAACAAGGTCAAGGTCATGGTGCATCCCTAAAGGATTGGTCAACGCCGAGAGCTTTACCCTTTTTACCATGTATGTATATATACATACACATATATATATATATACATTTACACATGCATATATATATATATACGTACATATACGCATGTGTATATATATGCACATATGTGTATACACTTGTGTATATATGTGAAATACATATGTATATGTATGTATCCGTTCTTAACCTCATGATAATGAGAGACTATAAGACGACTTCAACTTTTCCTTTGATTTGTTCACACGAAGCGGTAACAAGTTTGGCCAAACTCCTAATCTAAAAACTTGCCGTAGTTCTTGTGTTGCCTAGATCATATTACACTAACCACAAGAATAAGAATTAGAAAGAGATGCTCTGGTAACATGTTCTGTTAAATAAGAGAGCATGAAAACCTCAATACTGTTCTTTTTAACGCGTATGGACATGTACGCATACGACACCAGATTATTGTATTCCAATCATAAAGTCAACTGATAGACTGACAATATCCTAACTGTGAGGATTTCCAGTCACTTTGGCAAAGTCTATAAATGAAAAAGTGTTTGGTGTTGATCGATCCCTTCAGGATATTCCATGCGTTCGACACCATGTCGAATCGTACAGGTGGCTGAATGCATGTTTGGCTTAGACAATAAAATGATTTGTGAGGGCATACTGACTTCAGAAATCAGCCTTTTATCCTCGTAGATTCTCCCTGACAAATCTGGTATCAATACCACGAAGAACTGCTTAGTAACTGTAACTACAGAACTACGCTTGTCCCCATTAATTTAATACGTAGACAAAAGTAATAAATTATTGGAATACTACTTGTTGGGAGTGTCTTTCTCCTTAAATCCCATACGTGGTTTTCTATTTACGGTTACGCCGGTCATGGTTTGCGGAAGATTTTTGAATCCCTCACCGTTATCTTTGGGAAAATAGTTAATTTCTTAATTTAAAAAAAAAACACCCTGTCTCGTTTCAAAGCCGGGAAATACATGGCAGATACCCATATCTCAGCAATACAAACAAATATGTGACACTTTGTCTGAATAGCAATGTCATCATAGCATGTTATCACTGTTAGAGAAATAAACAAAATGGATTACATGAAAGTTCCTAATGCTACCTTTAGATGGTGACTGGATTATGGACGGACTGGGAACTGGGGAAGAACGAAGCCACTGCTGAAAGAAACAAAATTATGACAAAACAGACATATTGTCGAATTGTCAGTTGAAACGATAATAAGGCAATATGCAATGAGTTATATTCTGAGACTATGTCCTAGTTAAAAAACGTTTCAGAGCTATCTTAGCCCATGAAGTCGAATCTAAGAAAATCTTAATGGAATAAGCAACACTCAAAAAACGATCAAGAATGGTGATATCTCAGCTGTTGACATCGCAATCAGATATGGTCTCATACCTGATGAGGAGGTCCTGGAACAACAAAACCGTCATTATCAGGGTGCACGCCTGGTCCCCCAAGACCAACCTGGTCGACTACCATATGAGTGATTCTTGATGGATCAAGATGACCTAATGGGCTATCGACTGCACGCACGCGTTCCTGAATGGCAAGTATAGGAGCATTACAATGCAGGACCTAGCAGAAGCAAAAAAGTCGGAACAACGACAATATAAACTTATCAACTATGTGACATCACATCTAATAGGAAAATGGGTAAAAAGTGAGAGGTGCATCTCAGAAATAGTTGATCAATGGCCAAACTAAAACCGTAAAACACTTACTGCTTGGTGATTCTTTATTTCATCGCTGCAGCCGCTAACACTATCTGTGCCACGATTACATCCATCACTAGAAGACATTCCTCCCACTTATCACAAGTAAAAAAAACCTTAGGACGCAGATATCTGGTGGTGGAAATAAAAACGCCAACAAACTGCAACAAATTAGGATTTAAAGCAAAAGCCCGTCGGTAAAGAAGCAGTTTAAAATATGAGAACTGTCAAACAGAATGAGATTAGGGGATAAACAGCCAGCGGAGCAAATAACATTTATTGAGATCTAAAACGAAAACAATCGCTCAAAACTTCAGAAATGGAAGATCCAAAAAAAGGCATAAAACATACTAATGATTAAGAATTTAACACTGGAGTTTGGCAGCCGGATTACACCAATATTAAAGCTTTCCGTCGATCTCATTTAAGACGGCTTTAAAATTCTGGTATTGCTCCCTGTTCAGACTGATACCTTTCTTTCCCGGCCGCATTTCTCCTGACGACTGAAAAGTCACAACATTAGAATATCACCAAGATATTGGAAAAGCTGGTACGAATGTGAAAAAAAACAAAAGATAAATAGCTAAGTATACCTTATCCAAATAGTATTCACGAATATCGACGAGAGCCTTTCCACGGAAATTTCTAACAGTGACATAACGCATGTTACCTATTTCAATCATCTGAAAATCAAATAGCGATTTTTACAACAAAACACCCATACAAATGCACTACCATCTCGTCAGTAGCGCTCTCTGCGCATTGTGGATCGGCAATTTGTGACCCTCTCTTTCGAGACCTACGTCCCTTTGAAGAAACCTTGCTTGGATGGCCCGTCCTCACTGCTTGTGCGGGTCCCAGCATAATCCTCATTTTTTCGGAGTTTTACTGGTTTAGTCATTGTGGTTCTCTGGAACTTTGAGGTCAGCCTGGCCAAAATCTGCTCCAGGTCGTCACCACCCACAAGCAGTCGCTGCCCTTGTGGATCAGAAAAAGATTTGCCACCATGCGACTTTGATACCAGGACGGTGGTGGATCCTGGCAATGGTTTACTCTTAGCTAAACTTCATGATGGAAACGCCGGACTTCTCAGCTTGGGAGGCCCTGCGGGTGGAACGAATCCGCCCGCTGTATATCGCAGTCCAACACCCAGGACACCTCCCAGCCACAATGAGGTGGTAAACCGTTGGGAGGTTTGAAGAAGCCAGCGACCACTAGCACAGTTTCAACGTTAGATGGAGTTCCCGGCAAAAACTCCAACTCCCTTCCAAGTATCTACAACTCCGCATGGGGATTAATCTTCTCTTGTACACTGCAGTCCGACATTAAGCCGTAACGTCTTGTTACCGCATTTCGTAGTTGGTCCAGCCGATTGCGGGCAATTTTTCGACGGCTGCTAACTTTGCGACTTTGTCAGAACAAAAGAAAAAAACCTTTTCTCAATAAATTAGAAACTTTAAGAGTCTTGAACATGATAGGATTGTATAAAAGATTTTGCTCCATTGTTTTATAGGTATGAGAAATATATATGCTACTATTTACTAGGTGTTACTATGGTCCATATTGCAAATGCATTGTTGCCGTTTTTATAAGCTCTCTACAGTTTATGTTGAGCCCGCCTCGGTGTTTTCCGGTGTTATCCGCACATTCCATATAAAAACGATGATTCACCGTATGGATTAAAATGAAATAACAGCAAGTTGTTAGTAAGATCCTCTTCACGTTCCACCGCCTCAACGTGGCTGAGAGGTGTTCTTGGGTGTCAGGGGTCTCACAAGCTGAGAAGGAGTCCAACGTTTCCATCAGGAAACCTAGCTAAGAGTAAGCCAATACCAGGATCCACCACCGTCCTGGTATGAAACTAGTGGCGTGGCGGCAAATCTTCCTCTGATCGCAAGGGTGGCGAGTGGTTGTGGTGATGACGCCCTAGAGCAGACTTTGGTTAGGTTGACCTCAGGACTCCAGGGAACCACAACACCTAAAGCAGCAAAACTCCGGAAAAATGGAAATTATGCTGGTGTCCGCACAACCACTGGGGACGAGCCATCCAAGTATCCAAGCAAGTATGTCAATATGATTACCAGCCAATGAATCTTTCCAAGAAAAATTTTGTATTGTACGTCATGAAATGTAGGGAAGACTGTCCAGTCTCGCCTCTACTGTTCCTATCTACTTTCGATTAGCTACCGAATGAGTATATACACCCGGGCAAAAGAAAAACCCAAGGCCCATCAAACTCAATATGGTCATTGTGGAGTTCATACGGTTATTTGGTCAAGATGGTTGTTTGGTCCACATGCAATGGACACTATGGTCTCCCTACAGGGTGTTATGTGTTAAGGAACATACTAAGGATGAGGAGGCAACCCATTTGGTAGAGTATCCACACACTTACGATTTACCAGCAGTGCTAACTACTTCGTACTAGCCGCTTTTTCTTTATTGAAATTTAGTTCTTGGCTGTTTTGTTGTGCCGTACGCTTCTGCTACATAACTGCTATAACCTCACTGAAGGCACCAAACTCCATAAGATGACAAAACTCAGAATTTGGGCAGCTTTTCATATTTCGGTTTCAATAACTACTTGAGATATTGCCAGATTCATGATATACATACCAAAGCTCATCTATTCTTAACAGATCACACAGTCGAAACTTGATTTGCTACGTTTTAACTTTGGTGCAACGCAGGAAGTAGATGCTCACTGCATTACTTTGTTTACATTTTGTTCATTAGTGTACTTCAGCTTATGATATACTTAGACACTGAATGGCTATGTCAGACCTAAAACACCATGAATTACAAATACTATCCACTTTTGCTATTTTACCGTTGTTTTTCGTTTTTTTTTGGAACAAGGGACGCTTGTGGCGCAGTGGTCGGAGGCGCCCTGCAACATACACACACATGGGATCGATCCTTGCCCCCCTGGCTCACCAAGCCTTCCATTCCTCCGGTGTCTGCAAATTGGTACTAGACTTCTCTGGGAGGATAGCAGCACTGACTGAATGCATCGGTAAGCCACCGAGAATCATTATAAAGGCCAGATGTGCATTCAATTACCTCCAACGGTGCTTAATGAAGTCGAATGCATGGCGTATCCCTCGAGGATTGATCAACACTGAGAGCTCTATCCTTCTTTATCCTCTTTTGGAAGATTTTTTTTTACTATAACTGCGAGATAACGCTGAAAACTATTTTTAGGAACACTTAAGGAAACGTTTAGCACCTTAGAATTAGATATATTTCAAGACAGCGGTGATATTTGGCATTTTAAACTGCCTAGAAAAATGGCCAGCTCTTTTGAAGCATGGGAATGATTGTCGAGAGATGAACCACTGTAATTCATCGATGTTCAACATCAAACATCCTTTCATCGCATTAAAACGGTAAACCATGAAGAGTGAGGACGACACTCGATTGATTTGTACACATTTGTGATAAAGTACTGAGTTATTTAAACTTTTCGACACTGATCGCGTCACTTCATACCTCTTCTCCATCAGCATTTTTTAGTTTACTGCCAGCAGATTTCGACTTCTTAATAGGCGTCTTGTCATCTACTCCCTCATCCGAAGAAGAGTCGCTTTCAAGACGTCGCTTTTCCACCTGAAAAGCATCTAATAATAGATCAAGCATGATGATACGAGGAATAAAAACCACGTTGTTCATAGAGTAACTCTATCGGTTGCCATAAACCCTATTAGTCCCCGTGGTGCAGCAAAATTGCTTGTGCTACGCTCTTTCACGGAGATTCCGAGTATCACACTTCTAATTGGACGTTCTATATTTACCGCTTTTAACGAGAAAGCGCGTGTGGCTCAGTGGTTGGAGGCGCCTTGCCAATACACATGTGGAATCGATCCCCGAGCCACAGGCTCACAAAGCCCTCCATTCCTCCGGGGTCGGCAAAATGGTACCAGACCTGTCTGGGAGGATAGCAGCACTGGCTCGATACACCGGTAGGCCACCATGAGTCATTTTAAAGGTCAGACATGCATCCAACCACCTCCAACGATGATTAATCAGGTCGAATGCATGACGCATCTCTCAGGGATTGATCAACGCCGAGAGCTTTATCCTTTATCGTTTCAACGAGAGGATTGGTGAAACGGTACCGGTCAACTACGATAACGAGTAAACTGTTACGGGAAGAACGTAGACAACGAAAGACAAAATGTATGAATCAAGCAAAGGAAAAAAGGGTACCAATTAAAAGCTCACCTTCTTAGACTTCTTTTCACTGGAAAGATCTTCCGACATATTCTAAATAGTTATACCTTACGCCTATATTCACGATAGAATAAACGACAAAGAAGGGATTTCTTAAAACGAAGCACAAAAAAGGCAGTTGAAACCAAATGGCCAAAGCTGCCATATCAATTCATGATCTTGCATGATTTACCAGAGGATATTCATAAAGAGCTTTGCTTACCTGCAGTTTAAGCATTGCATCTGCTCTACTAAAAGAATAGTACATGATGACGGTATATGGTTTCAGTTGAATGAGCAATATGGAATATCAGAAGAAATATTTTGCCAGTTTGACAACAATGTCGGCAATAATAGGAAAGCAAAAAACCATAGCATATGGACTATGACGCTGTTAAAGCCACGCATTAGTAAGCGTGAACACTTACTTGGATGGTCCGTCTTCACAGGTTGTGCGGGTCCCAGCACAATTTCCATTCTCTGGAGATCTGCTGGCTTAGCCACTGCGGTTTCCTGGAATCCCGAGGTCAGACTGGCCAGTCTGCTCCAGGTAGTTATAGCCCTTCAGAATCAAAGAGACATTTCCCACCGTGTGACTAAATTGACACTAGGACGTTGGTGTATCCTAGTATTGGTTTACTCTTAGCTGAGCTTTCTGATGGAAACGCCGGACTCCTTCTAAGCTTGGAAGACCCTGCTAGGCGATCCGGCTGTGCAACGCAGCCCGACACCCAAGAACTCCCAGCCACGATGAGGCGGTAAACCGTTGGGAGCATAAAGACTTAGTGTCCAAAAAGAGTTCACTATGGTTAAGAAGCAAATGCATAAACTGCAGGAAACTTTAAGCCTGCCCAGGAAAGGTTTGTTTACCTTCAACCAATATAACCTGTCAAAGTTGACTTTCGTATACCCTCGGATTCTTAACTTTGAAATAAGCTCTTCTTTTTTTGGTAGAACTACACGAGTACTAAGAATGACAACTGAACAAAATCAGTTATTTAAATGTCTGAAAACACAAGATAATCCTTATATGGCTTACTTCTATTCAATAGACACAAACTCATCATGATATACAGCTCGTTTTTTGAAGTTTGAAAACATCAGCTCAGGAAAACGCAGATGATGACTTAGAGAACTTGAAACACGTAAGCGCTCCTAAGGAGATTGTGACCTAAAGACCTAAAATGTGACCTACATCCTCTTTTTTTAAATTCTAACTTCTTAGAAAATGGTGTTCAAAAACTGGTAAATCACATCGAATTCAAAGAAAGGGAGAGATTGCAACTTTTACTATAACCTTTTCCAGTCGAACGATTATTAGACACTAATAACCAGTGTGAACAAACACTGTGCAAAGACCTCCCACTCTCTCTCTGTGAAAGGGTTTTAATTACAATAGGTAGAGATGGCGAGCCATATTTATCACACAAACGAGAAACACGAAAGGCACTAGAAATAGGAGGGAAGGAGTAACGTGAGAGTAAATCGAAGTGGTCTCTAATCAGTACGAAGCGCTGTCCACCGCAGAGACGACGTTCAAGCACGGGCGGAGCCGAGAGAGCCCAGATCAGCTCCCCGTCGAGCCTAGCAACGATGCCGTATGGAGTGCTGGCAGATTGGTTCACGAGGTCCAAACAGCTTACAGAGAGCATAACGCGGAAAACACTTCTAAGAAAGCGATGGAAAAGAGCAAGAGAAGAGGGAAAACCACAAAATGTTCACTCGTCTAGGTAACTGCCCCTCAAATTCAGCTTTTAATTTCGTCATGAAATCTTTTTTGGTTTCTCTGCCTTCAATTAAAAAATCCTGATTACAGTAACTCCGACGACCAACTTTCTATTCACCTCGGGATTGATCAAACGTGATTGTATGAGCTCAGATACGATATACCTGATCTCTTGTAGCATTTGCGGAGATGAATATATTGGCGAAACGGGTAGACCTTTATGCGCCCGCATAAAAGAACACCTAGAAGGCAAACGAAAAGCAAGACTAGGTACCCCACTAGGGACGCATAGGATACAAAAACATGGACGATTTTGATATAAAAGTCGCTATCCTCGCACAAGATTCCAACACACCAAGGTGCAAACTTCTCGAGGCTTTTCAGACAAAAGCCAAGAAGCCCACAATGGATAGCAGAGAGAAATGCCCCGAGACCACACATGATCTCGCCTCGTACCATCGAGTCGATTTTTGGTATGGGGTGGTGCATTCATCAACCATATGCGACTCTGATCAGCTGTTCTTATTCAGTGGAAAGCACGTAAAGAAGCTGGGGTTTTTCAAAAAGCTGTTGATCGCGTGATTATCACTCAGATTTTTTTTTTTTATTTTTTTTTATTTTTTGGTGGTGACGACCTCAGGCATGCTTTCGCCAGGCCGACCTCAGGACTCCAGGGAATCGCGATTGCTAAACCAGCAAAACTCTGAAGAATGGAAAGTATGCTGGGGCGCGCACAACCGGTGATAACAGGCCGTTCAAGTATCCAAGTATCCTGACTATATATGACGTACAGCAGTTAGGATCCGCCACTTTTCGTGGAAAGGTGAGTCTACATGGGAGCTCCATAGATATTCTTGAATGAAGAGATAAACACAGAAATATAAGCAATCTACGTTCATGTCAAGAAATTAACCGAGCTCTCGCTTAGACAAAAGAAAAAACTGCTGCAATACCGCAGCGACAGTGAAGTTAGCAGAGTACCAACGGATGAAGACCAAGGAAGAACCTTTGGGACAGAGAGACCAAGGAAACCACGAGGACTCGACGATCGAAGATGCGAAGAAACAGCGACATCGTGTCCCTACGGTGCCGCAACGATTCGACGCAGCGTCACAGGCAGAGATTAAAAGACATGCCCATGTGAAATCACGTACAATGCACGCATTAGTCGTCCTACCGTTGCTTCGCTGATTGCTTGCCAAAGGTACTGCTGGTGTTTGAAAATAATGGAAAGTAAGAGACAGAAAGGGTCTAAGAAGTGGAAGTTGTAGGTAAGATTGGTTAAGGGTGGACAAAATGGTTGGTTCCCGTTAATTTGAACGCATTTCCTCCTCGGCGGTCTCTTTTGCCGCACACCATGCACATGCTTGCTGTGACCACCGTGTTCAACTGATAACTTCGCGCAGATTTTGTGCCCGACGTCGTGAAAGAGAAGCCATTCTCATTTCATGAGAAGTTACAAAAGCTTTCTTGGAAAAGTATGGTCGTTCCTTGACACAGATGGTTTCCGATGAAGGCGGTGCTAAGATGCCGACATTTGTAAGAGTATCACATATCAGGAGCGTATAAGATGTTTCTTACTGCGTGGACACAAGCGTATGATTTGTCGTTTGCAATACGTTTACATGTACCAGTAAGCTAAAACGATGCTTGGCATGGACCAATTAGCTGCATTCTTAATGAGTGGGCATCGGCTTGTTAACAAGGAAGCAAGCTCTCGGTGTTGATCAATCCCTGAGGAAGCGCCATGCATTCGACTTCATTAATCATCGCTGGAGGTGACTGAATGCAAATCCGGTCTTTGCAATGACTCGTGGTGGCCTCCCGATGTATCGAGTCAGTATTGTTATCCTCCCAGACAAGTCCGCTGCAAATTTGCCGATCCCGGGGAGATGGAGAGCTTACTTGGCTTGGGGCACTGGAATCGATCCCATGTCTGTTGCAGGGCGCCCCAACCACTGCGCCAAACGTGTCTTTTCGTTTTTTTTTGCGTCCCATGCACATCTTTCCTGTGCAAGTTCAAGTTTCAAGTTGTTAACATATTATATTTATATTATCTACATTGTGACATACTTCACTATTTTTAATGTTATGACGGATTCCTGCTTCTGAGTGTGGAAAATCTAACGCAAAAGCTCAAAACCTGTAGTATGAACTGTAAAACACCTACCTTTCTTGTGTAGTCCACTTGATTAGCACGAGTGGCCAGCCGTCCACATTCAAGTGGGGTTAAGAAATGTCCATTTGAAGTGCAAAATCAATCTCCGTTATAGCATGAAATCATGTTTAAGTTTTCCAACGATTTCTGCAGGGCTCAACGGTTAATAGCAGTGTATACTTCGTTCGAAATAGAAGCAAACTCAACCCTAAAAGGTAATTGGCTGAGTGGATTGTATAATAACATGATCTTACCCAAACTCTGAAGAGGGTTAAGCCCGCCCGAACGTTTGCCATTGTGGAATAAATTTTCCATTAACACTTAATGTCAGATCCTTAAGATCCCAGCGACAAACACATGGGTCCCGCGATGATTCCTTGCCTTTTGTATTGATCGGGGAGCACAGAGATTGTTGTGTTTTACGTGGTTACATGATTTCTCTTCTTGATGAGGGACAACGGACATCACCTGTTGGTTTGAGGAGCAACCGTACACGTGGAAATTAGGCGTCGTCGCGAACATCTGAATACGCTGCACCATTTTCCTCATGGTGCTAAGCAGATCTGTTGTAAATCACCTGCCAAGACTTGCAAGGAACAATCGACGAAATCACCAATTTTAATTTCTATCTTTCAAACGATGTTGTCACGCTAACTGATTTTGTCTTAGCATTGTCACTTCCAGGATAGCTTAAAATTTGAAGAACAGTGAGGCATCTCTCAAAGAACTTCGTCAGCAAGGTACACCACTCAAGGAGAAAGCAGATGAAAATGTTATTCAGGGTTAAAACTAGATTTCCCGTCTAGATTCATAAAACGACAAGAGGTAAAGCGTGCTACGTTGATTAATTGCTGGAGATGTGGCATACATTCGACTTCATTTAGAATCATAGAAGTGAACTAATGCATATTAGGTCAATGACATGACCCAATAGAGGAACCTTGCTTGCTCGGGCATGTGATCCAACCGAAAATTCATTTTGCTAGTTGGGTTCGCTCATTCCAATGTTGTCCTATTCCAGTGTTTCCATGGGATGTTTCTCGTTGGTGGGGATAAATGATTTCGGCGAGATGGTTTCGCTTTGCTTAACCTCTCTTCTGACAACGATGAGTTAATATCGTTGTAGAATGGCAATTTTTTGGTTCGAAATTTTTACACAGCTTGGGAACAATCTTAATATACTGAATAGAGACACCGTTCGGCGTGTACTATGAAACCGGCTTTAAATTTAAAGTACACCCATCCTATTCATGTTTTTTCCACCTGCTAGGTTAAGGATTGCTACTACGGGACATACGGGAAAGGACTACTCCTACGTATTTAAAGATATACTACTGCTACTGAAATATGCAAGAACAGTTCGTTGAAGAGGTTAACAGTTGGAGTTAGAAAATTGTAGGCGGTTCATATGTCAGTTAGGTATTGCTCAAATGGTGTTAACAGTAAAATCCCTGCTTCGTTCAACCGTTAGCAGGTGTGTATCCTTTGTTTATATTTATCCTTCCTGTAGGTCATCTGAAGAAGATTTGCTTTCAATACGATGCTTTTCCTCTGCTCACGCGTATGACAAAGTTGTTCGTATGACGTACACCATCATTGAACAGCACTGAACTGAACATCATATATGACATCACTGAATTGAATGCATCGAAATATAATCGGTATTTGAGAAATATTCAGAGGAAGGCCTCAGGCAACTGAAACCAGGTTTCACATTTTTTCGAAACATTATGTATTGAACATATCTGACCTAGTCATAGAGAACAGGAATGCTGTTCTCATAATATACCATAGCGAATAAGAATTCTGTCTTGGTATCAACCACTGAAAAGATGATCGAATCGTAACATTTGGCACGAAAGTGGTGCTCTTTCTTCTTCTTCTTCCATAGGTTTCGTGCTCATCGAACAAAAATTATGGCCTGAGCCATAAGTATATGTTCGCATGTAGACGTATCCATTCCTAATGTAAGATTTAGATAAAACCCTTAAGTAACTGAAGATGCGTTCCATTTGTTAGCCTAGCAGTGATAACGTGCGTGTAAACATGATTTATGAACCTCTTTTGGTTTGGTCTTATCGGAAAAAGATGATCTGATCGTGAAAGAGATTATCTAGTCGCACAGACACGTTTATACGCAGCCAGCCATGTGGAGTTAGCACACCACACACGGGCGCCTGGGCTGGGTCTCTTTCACTTTTCCTCAATTTATTACTATGGTTAAAATTCTGTCAGCACATTCCTGGATTATTTAGCTAACAGGAAGTATTTTGGGAATATTGATACGCTATTTGTCAGCCGAATTACTACGACATAATCTCTGTATTTTTGTGGTGTAGTTCCGCCAACAGTAGAGTAGGGTTCTTATGCAGCACGGCTCCACTACGCGGTCGAACGGGGCTGAAATGATTGCACTCGCTTCGACATTATCAGACGCTTTTCATAGTCGATAAGTCAAGGCTAGAGCAGATGGTATTCTCACCAAGCTTCTGTAACTCTGGATAAGGTCTGAATGTGGTCCGCGTAGCAGAAGTCTTCTCAGAATCCTGCTCGAACGACTGGTTTTGCCTCATACAAAGTCTTTGATGTTCTCAGTAGAATAATCTTCGTCAACAGCTTGGAGCTGTGCCTCTCTTCTTACTTTCTATCGCCACTCAAACATCAGAAGATCATATAGGATGGCTGAAATAGATCAGCATTGGTCCTGTACAAAAGGTCGCCACCTTATAAGATTCTTTATTCGAACGGTGCCACACTTCACTGAATTTGATCAGATGCAAAAATCAACAACAACATCGCAAAGACATCTGTCGATCATCGACGTGGATCAATCGAGCTCTGAAGAGGATGAAGTTTTTTTTATAAACTTCGCGTTAGCTCAACCATCGAAGAAACAGAGATTGTTTATGCCAAGATGAAACAAGAGTCGATTTTTAGAGACATATTAGGCCTATATCTATGCCAGCTCCATCTATTTTTCTCTTGGGAAATATTCCCCCTTGAACCTTGAAAGTGGGATAAATTTAGAAGGCTCGAGCTGCCCAGCCCAGCTGAGCGTTGTATCCGACTTCAGAGCATAGCAAACAAGCTACATGTGGATGATGCGTTAAATCTTCGACGTGAATGAAATTTCAACGCCTACGTCCGAGCAACGAAGTAGAGTACTGGGAGGATCGCTGAGCCAAAAAAGGGTAAGCCTCGACCTTGAGGTAGGTCAGCTTAATGGATCGGTGGCTTTTTTGACGGAGCAAAAGGTGGCCTGTGATGCTTAGCTTTTTTCTTTTTTTACAAAATTCCTCAGTCTTAAGAGGAAACGGAGAAAGAGAAGAATAATTTCATACTTGACTGCAGGTAAGCACGCACTATGAGTTCTCATAATAATCCTATCCTTGGTAATTATAACTACTCGCTGTCGAACTATCGAAATTATGTATCGTTTTACTAGTCATCTTCACTTTTGCTTCCACTTGCTCACGTTTGGTTGCTCATGTTTGACATAAGGAAACACATTTAACAGATTGAGGTTGGTAGTGCTCCGAGAATGAAAATTCAGCTGCTAATTTACTAGATAACTTATAATATGAGGTAGCAGTGATACAATTTCTGTTTTCTTCGATAGATAATGAACGTCGTTTACAAAAGTATTTTTCCGTGAACCCCTTGCCCTGACTTCTTCGACTATCATTCTTTTTCAAACATAGCTTCTATTTGAAAATCTATTTATGGATAACATGTGAAGCCAGCTAGTCGAATGCGCGACACTTCTTTAATCCATAATCCATATATCTGGAATTTTTCTGAATTCGATCGCCGACACTTTATGTTAAGAGTAGTCATCCAAGAATTTAAATGTAGACTATTTATTTTCAGTAATAATTCCCATTCGTATATAATCGCTTGCCAAACTTTAGCTGCATGGGAGGTTATCTTAGAGCCATTTTTGCGGTGTGTAAACCTCATTCCAGCACCATTGTAAAAACCCAAAATGAAAGCTTAGTAGGAAACCACGATGTTTGAGCGATAATATACTATGCTTCGCTTTACATTGTCCACGTCCACCGCTACTGTACAGATGCCAGCATCCAGCACTTCCGATATTTGATTCGTTTCCTCGCATCCATCATCCACGAAAGCCTCCCAATATTTTACGTGTGGCTTCGGCTGCTCTGCTTAAGGATTTTCGTCTTCATTGTAAATGTCGCAGAATGCTGGTCGACTAGATTTTCCCTCTTGTCTTGAGATAACTGTCCTGCACGTTCCTGTGTGGATTTGAAAGAGTGAGTTGGATTCGGGCAAGTCTGGTATCAATTTTCCGAGCCCGGTGGGATGAGAGACCTGTTGAGCTGGGAGCGTGGTCGAACCAGCACCGTGCTCGTGATGAATGGTACCACTACCACTGCGCTACCAACTTTTTTAGCCAATGGTAAGTATATGACACTATTCTATTTTCGGCATGTTTTTAGGAATTCTATCTTGAATTTGCTATATTTGACAGAGTAAAACTCAAATGTCTGCCTTGTCACACCGTGTTCATCAAGTCAATTAACCTCTTGCTTCATTATTTAGGTTATCCTAGGTGCCAGCAATTCCTTCATTGGTTTCTGCAGCCTTCATTCATGGCTGAATTCGTGGGTGGATCCGCATGCGACTTAAGAAACTGTTATGTTCTCTCCTCATTGGCCATTTGTGTATTGCTCAACTCTCGATCATTTCTGTCACTTATATCACTTCGTTACGTTAACTGACCTCATGTAAAGCAACTCATACTTTTAGAAAGCACTAATTTTGGATTGAACATCGAAGCGATTTGACTAGTGCCATGATTAGCGCGAACGTTAGTAACCTATCCGATACCATTGTTTCTACAGCTAAACCTTTCCCAACGTATAACGTAAACATAGCTCATGTTCTGCTGCATTTTGGTGTCTTTTCATTTACAAAAGGGGATTCGTTCTGTAAGACCAAAACAAATAGGATTGCGGAATTAAATCTGGGCAAATATTATCCGTTGCTTGAGAGACGAGGATTTGCAGAGATAACAAAAAATGTTTTGGTAACCTGGACGCTCGGATAACCCATGTTCACGTTATGCGCGCCTCAGTATTTCTATTTTAGCTGTGTCGCAATATGGAAGCCATCTATGGAGGTAGTCGGGTTCGTTTGTTGGTTGTGTTTCGGCAGAAAATCTATCGTCTTTTCTTGTCAACGACATGTTGAGGCATTGGTTTTCTCGAGAACTCTGGGGGCACAGTGCTAGAGTGCCTCAGTATTTCACCACAAAGATTCACCGGGTCTTTCGAAGCACTAGGAACTTCGCTTCCATTCCATCAATTCTCCGTTTTTTTCCATTAGAATTCCTCCAAGACAGAATTGATTCCCGTAACTGCAGCCGTTCGCCAATTCGCAGATCTGTCGAGGATGGTTCAATGTGTAGAACATTACATTTTCTTTCCATTAGTGAAGTCCTTGTGCCAGAGCATTTTAATTTGGGCTACATTCTGAGTTGTGCATAGTGTATACGTTCATGTTTCATAGATGGCTGGCTATTCCATCACTAATTATATTTTTCCTGAAGTATAATGAAGAAGCATCACAGTCATTGTGAAACGGGAACATAGTACTGAGAGTATACTACAGCGTCGAAAAAGTGGGTATGGATTGGGTGATGGGGAAAAGGTGGTGGGGCTGGGATGGGGAATGGGCTGAGGAATCCATTCCGTCCAATGTTCTGTAGGCCTCGGAAAGCTTCGACGTTGTACCCGCTGTCGAATATCTACAAGTGGCATCAGCAGTCACCTTCAACGGGATTGATTTGTAGAGTCGAAGTTAGCATTTAACCCAGTTAAGCTGAGACTTTAGTCGAAATCACAATGTTAACTTTTATTTACTACTTATATTTAACAATGCTTGCGATAATCGTTTAAGCGAAGAATGACAATCGTGACGCTGCTTCAAGAGATACATGGACAAGTAGAAATTCTGCTCTCTCAATGTTTTATCATTTTATTTTCTGCCTACTACAATTTTCACGGTAGGGTGCTAAGCGAAATGCAACCACAACGTTGCTGAGATATTTGCAAAACTCTGGAACGCAGGTGTCTATGGTGGGCAACGAACGAATTATTTCAACTACAGCCTCAGCTTAACTGGGTTCAATGCCGATGTGGGCTCCCCAGATGAATCCCGTTGACGGGTGATTGCTGATGGCAAAAGATCGATAGCTGAGAGACAGGCGAAACGAAGGACCCGCATGGTGTGGTGGTGAACGCGTTACTCCCCGGAAAGGACAATAGCGCGTTCGTTCACCACCATAGACACCTGCGCTCCAGAGTTTTGCAAATATCTCAGCAACGTTCTGCTCTCACAGTTTATTTAATACTTTACGAAGTGATAATTGGTGCTCAACAATGTCCATTCCGTTCAGTTAGCTACAAGTTTGGTAACTTTGTACCTTGGCAATTACTAATCAGTTACCCTCCACTCTTCATATTTAAGATCTTTATCGGTCATTTTTTAGACAAACGTTTCATATTAATAAAGCGAAGATAGCGAAAATTTCTAGGTGACCTATGGATCTTGGTTTACCTACTATTCCGGATACTTTCTACTCTAATTCCTTCCCAATACTGGTCGTGGATAATTATTCAGAGTTTGGAGAGGGCGGTAAGTTTCTGGTACTTCAAAGCAGATCAGAAATCTAGAGCTTGTTATCGGAGCGACAGCAGCTCCTCCCAGTTGTTAGATGGGGTTTCTTTCGTGTTTGGAAGCGTGGTTCTCAATAATATCTTTCAATTTTGGACGATACCTTGTGGAGGGTTCCGAAGTATGGTTCAGTTACAATGACGAACGTCGCTCCCCTGTTTTGCTACACACTTTTTTGGTGTTCCATTAATTTGATGGTAAGCAAGTACTGTTGGACGAAGTGGAAAGGTTTCCGGAGACAGCGACTAATCAATCTTACCACATCGCTTGTACATTCCACGGTAGGTGCTTATTTCAAAAATTGTACATTCGGATAAAATTCAGTTACGTAGTAGATCCTCCGTCCTCTTTACGCCATAGGCGCAACGAGACCTCACTTAAAAGCGAAACATCGAAAAGCTGACAACTTAAAGATCGGAACGATCTAGGTGGCTTATTTCGGTTACTTTTTCTCGTGAAACTCACAAGCCTTCATTGCAACTTAAAGTACTAACGAACAAATTAGTAAAACTTTTTATTTACCGCTTATTATATTTTCATAACAATACATTATGTGAAATACGACCACAGTGATGGTGCTAAAACTTATACCCCAGGCCAGATTCAAACCCGCGCCTAACCCTTTTGGGTGCTCACGTGTTACACACTTTCACCACTGAGGCCTCTGTGCTGCCTTTCTCTCGCCCAATTTTTGTGCTCTAACGGTGCCATTAGCAATCACTCGTCACCGGGAATGATCTGGGTAGCAGAATTGACCATTGAACCAAGTTAAGCTGAGGGACATTTCACATAATGCCTTGTCGCGAAAATATAATATGAAGTAAATAAAAGGCTATACATTGTTGTTTCGATTGCAGCCTCAGTTTAACCGTGTTCAATTCCGGTTTTGCTCGCCAGATCATTCCTGTTGGCGGGTGGTTCCTGATGGCACCGTTGTGGGAAAAAATTAGCTGAGGAGAGGAGAATGCGAAGGTCTCAGTTGTGCAGTGGGCAACATATGAACCCCGAAAAAGGTAATCACCGGTTCGAGTTTGGAATGGGGTCTGAGTTTTGCAAATGCCTCAGCATTATCGTAGTTTAACAAATTAATATCAAAAAGTTTGCTGCAGTAATCATTTTGAAAAGCGTGCCAATGATAACGTAATCAGGAGCAGATTTATGGTGCTGCAGCTATCATAACGTTTATTGGCCTGAGATCACGAGAAAATGAATTGTCATGGGGAGCTTGGAACTAAACAACCTGGAGCCACACAGTCGGCGAGCAACGAGTGGAACTGCGTAGTTCCTGATTTTCGTAAAGACAAAACTGCGTCAAGAAGTTGAGGGTGATGTAACACTACTATTCGCAATTTCTGTCTCCACGTTATGATATATTATGTTCCTCACCGTTAAATGGAGTCCTGCAACACTGAGATTCCCACTTCTCATTGCTTGACAGTATGAAATGGTGGCCCATACGAGGTCATCTGTGGTGTTACGCAAGCATTAAGAGTAAAAAAGTGTAGATCTTTTGGAGTTGATGATTCCTAAGCATTCGACTTCACCAAGCATCGCTGGGGTAATTGACGGCATATCTGTCCTCTACAGACTTTGATTGCCTGCCAATGCATGAATTCAGTGTTTTTGTCCTCGAAGAAAACTATGGTACCATTTTGCCGACCCCGGAGGGACGGAAAGCTCGTGAGCTCCGTGCACGAGATTTAACTACCGATTCAATGTGTACTTCAGTGCACCTCCAGTCATTGCGTTGCATTCCCCAGAGGCGTCTGTATGTGGTGACCACTGGTGCTACAGTGGTACTAGGTCCTAAATCTGTCGTTCAATTTGCTCATGTGTTGAAGCGACAGATGTGAGAAATATTCGGAAATTTTTCCTCTAAAAAGTTTGTCGCTGCTTGCGTCGTAGTTGGTTGTACATCCTAACAGCGACTTCTTAGTTGACCTTGGTGGATCTCTCTGCTTACACCCACACCTCCGCTTTGTGTGACACCCACAATTTTTCGAGAGCTTACACTTTATCCGGGAAGTAAGAAACGCTTGATGTGTTGTTATTTGGCAGGTAACGGGATGCTACTTGGTAGTGTATCCTTGTCGAAATACGCGTTTAATGTTCGCATCTCCATTACATTACTACAGCCATTTGGAAACGCACCTTGTTCTTCTCTCGATGGGTTACTTCATCTATGATGCCATAGACATGCTCATTAATGACATGTGAGTCTATGAGCTAAGTACCTTTTATAGTGTAGCGTTTATTTAGCTTCTAATTTCAGTTTGAATGCAAGCTGTTTGGTACTGATGTTCCATCACATTTCGGCGCTATACTTTCTCTCATTTGTTCTAATAACGCACAAGTTTCTTCTCTACTCCTATTGGGCTCTTCTGATGGAGGTACAGTAAGCACAGAAGTTTAGCTGTGTAAATTTCACTACTACACTGATTTTTAGTCTTCTCTAAACTCGTATTACTAACTTGAGCTGTGTCACTGGACAACCGAAATATGGAATTAACTTAGGACTTCAAGTCGTGTTGGTATTTCGAGGCATAGAGTCTTGAATTTCGTGTAAAACTCATAGAGAATACCCTTCGCAAATTGCTGCTTCCAACCAATCTCATACAGAGGTTGTTGCTTGGATCGTTGACACAAGTCCTAATGAAGTATTTTGACGTTACTTTGTGCTATTTTTTAAGTGTGAAGTGTTCAAAAAAAGTTTGGAGAGCCAAGTTATGTTTATTATATTTGCTACCATGTCGGTCTTTCGATAAAAGGATAAAGCTCTTGGCATTGATCAATCCCTGAGGGATGCGCCGGGCATTCGACTTCATTACGCGTCGTTTGGGGATGAATGAATGCATATCTGGCCTTTACTCGCGGTGGCTTACCGATGTATCGAGCCAATGCTGTTATCCTACCAGACAAATCTGGTACCAATCTGCCGACCCCAGAGCGATGGAAGACTTGGTGGGCCATGGGCGCAGGGATCGATTCCACGTGTGCGTTGCAGGGCGCCTCCGACCACTGCGCCACACGGTTTTCGATATTTGCCGATAATAACCCAGTGAAGAAGTGAGTTTACTCCATCGCTCTGAAGGTATAAGGAATTTCTTTAGATTTCCATACCTATTTTAAAATTTATTCAAAGTTCCAATTCTGACGTATTTTAGAAAACATTCAGTCTTCTAAAAATTCCTAAGATAAGGATGACGATAGCGCAAACAGATTGCACACTCAGAGACCACAAGCTTCGTCTACGAAATGATGGTTCTTTGCTTCAGTCACCTTATTATTCAAAATGTAATCCTTTAGGAAAAAAAAAGAAGGGTGTATTGATTCCGGTCGTTTTTCTTTCACTTCATAACGTTCATTGTGTGCTGCGGTGTGACTATGCGAACCCCATAGGAGTCATACGACGCGAAAATGATGGGCATCTTGAGCTTTACATCGAAATATCTCATCTCATAGTGAATTTGTTCAACTTCAGTTAAAACTGCTAAAGCCTTCAAATCTTTGCCTACAGGATAACAATAGTCTTGTTTTGCCACAAAGGAATTCTGACTTTCTGAAGCTAATGAGCTGCATTTCCTCCTCNTGCCTACAGGATAACAATAGTCTTGTTTTGCCACAAAGGAATTCTGACTTTCTGAAGCTAATGAGCTGCATTTCCTCCTCGTTATTGTTTCAAAGCTCATATTCCACATTCTCATATTCCAAAGCATATTCAAAAAATTTTCGTTTATATTCCATACGTTTCACAGGTTGTTAATGCTCTTAGACGACTTGAGTCACGTGCATAGCTGGAAGTGCTTCATTCTTTCACCTTTAGCTCTATTGCAATGAAGCTTGTTTTTCGATAATGATGAAGATTTTCTTACCAGCAATTGCTTTGGGAGTTCAAAACCTTATAGATTTCCAGGAAAGCATTTGCTCTACCGCTTTAATTACAAATACCATCTTTATGCGGTAATCTTTAAAGTTTCCTCCCAACGGTTTACCGCCTCATCGTGGCTGAGAGGTGTTCCTGGATATCGGGCTGCGATGTACAGCGGAGAGGATTCATTTACTCGGCAGGATCCTCCAATCCGAGAATGAGTTCGGCGTTCCGACTAGGATCTCTCTCTGATCTACAGTAGCTGCGACTACCGAGCTGGGGTAGACTTTGGCCAGATTGTCCTCGGGAATCCAGGGAACCACAATGGCTGAACCAGCAAATCTCCGGAGAATGGAAATTATGCTAGAGCACGCACAGCCAGTGAACACGCACCATCCAAGTATACAAATATTCTTTAAAGTTTAAATAGCTGCAATTAAAACTTCCAAAAATTAAGAACGAAATCTAAGCTCGTAAAACTTCCAGCGGAAGAGCGGCAACTTAAAACATGAACAATACATTAGGAAACACCACCGTACAGTGCTGAACGAAATCCCACTTCTTCATTTGCTTTCGTTTGTGGAATATGAGCTTTGAAACAATAATGAGGAGGAAATGCAGCTCATTAGCTTCAGAAAGTCAGAATTCCTTTGTGGCAAAACAAGACTATTGTTATCCTGTAGGCA